GGGCTCCGGCGATCCTTCCGCCTCAGCCTTCCAAGTAGCTGGAACTACAGGCACGCGTTATCATGCCTGACTAATTTTTTTGATTTATTAGAGAGATGAGGTCTCGCCAAGTTGCCCAGGCGGGTCTCGAACCCGCGAACTCAGGCAATTCACTCACCTCGGCCTCCCAAAGCGCGGGATTACAGGCTGAGCCACCAAGCCCGGCTGCCATCACCTTTTTGATGGCTTTGTCCAGGCCACCATCAGCCTGTTCCCTACAGGGACTCGAGGCCTGCCTGTGGGCCCAGGTAGGCCACCTGCCAGTGCACAGGGGGCCCCTACTCCCCAGGAACTCTGCCAGGCTGGCACAGCTGGGCATGTGCTCGAGGCAGGGACTCACCTTCCTGAGCCCTGGTTGCTGGACCCCACTGAATCCAGGTGTTCTGCCAGCTCCCCACCTCCACCTGTTTTTAGGATGCCAAGTGTGGGTGTTGGGGAGGGGGCTTCTGGTCATGGGGCCTTGCCCAGATTTCACATCACGTTTTCTTTAAAAGCAGCAGCTAAGGAGACAGCCTTTCTTGTTGAGTCTGCCTCTCTCGCCTGTTTCCGAGAGCTTGTCCTGTTGACTGCCAGAGTTCCCCTTGTCCACTCTGCTCTCCTGCCCCACGCCCCTTAGCAGGGCCTAGACTCTTCAAGAGGGAGCAGTGCAAGGCTGCTGGACAGAGACCAGGAAGTCCCCCAGGGGCAGGGACACTCACTCGTTTCATTTGATGCTTTGGTCTTTTAGACTCACATTGGCCCCTTCACCAGGTCCCAACGAGCTGAGCTGCCCCATCCCCTTTCTCGGAGCTGTCTCCGTTTCATTTAGGGGCAGGGGGTGGCGGCCATATCCAGGCCCCTTCCCTCGGAAGGCCTTGTCTTCTCCTCCCAGGACTGAGGCAGGCTGATCCCTAAATAACAGGGAGGTGCTTGTGGCAGGGGAGGGCAGCAGGCAGGCCGAGGGAGGTGGAGAGACTGATTCTTACTGATCGTTTGGATTCGCCAACATGGTCTGTACATTAGGAGAACAACAGAACACTGCAGTTTAAAGGCTTTCTCTCTCGGGCTGATCTTGTGTGTGTAAGATTAATGCTGTATGCTTTTCATGGGTCCCCTCTGTTTCA